TTGAAAACAACAAACAGCTACACAGACGGGGGGGGTGCTTTTCAATACCGGGCTCTCCCTCGAAACGCCCTCGATATCAGCGACGAAAAAGTTACGACTGTTGGACAGCTGCATGGATGGAGGACCCCTCCTAGTCTGAATAAGGCTCTCGCTCCAGACCTCGCCAGGACTAAACACCAACAAATTGAAATGAACTCTCGCTGGTCCTTGTCCATCACGGATCATTCGCCTGAGTGGCATGCCTCGTCGTTCAAGGAATACTCGAAGGGCTTTGCGAAGAGGAGACGTGGGGTGGAAGCATACTGCAGCACTGTTGCCACATCCTTGGTTTACTCGGGTCCTCCTCCTCCTCCTTTTCCTCTTTCTCCTTGTCGTCGTCACCGCCGCACCCACCCCCGACATTATTACTGTGTTAACCATGGTCGCCATCCCTCCTCAGCATCCCCCCCCCACGCTTCATACTTCTTCTAGGTACAGGAGGCCAGGGTGGAGTCAGCCACTGGAATGCAATAGTTCTTGCGAGCCCGACAATGGCATCCTGCCGCACACGTCTTCCATTCCTGACAGGCATCTGACAATGCACCGTCGGTGCACGAGAAGCACGAGAAGACTTTCAGCGAGAGCTTACGCCGCCCAGCCTCCAGTGTGACTGCGGGCAGCTCAACAGAGCACCCATCGATCGGAGGCTTAGACTGACACGTCGAACGCGTGCTTCCCGAGCAACGCAGGCATCGCCAAAAGGAGTGGCACCAGGTCCACTCGAGAGAAGCAACTGCGACGTGAGGCTAAGCACGACCAACCGTGGGACGTCTTGCAACGCTGTCGAGGTCCGGCCTGGGCCAGCTCGGAAGGAGCCGAGCGGCCAACCCGCAAACCTTGCGGGCAGCATGAGCACTAGCACCTATCACGCTGAGCTCCAGAGCAGACGCCTGCAGGTGGCTCCAGGCTCCGCACCTCGCAGCGGCGTCTGCTCGACCGCTGCCTTGCTGATAGAACAGCCCATCTGCATGCGGAGTTCCGTCGTCCGTGGTGCGCTGCAACGTTGAAAGCGTCAAGAGTACCAGTTCTCAGGCACGTTTAAGTCGAAGTCAAGGGCTCAGCCTACAACGTCTTGTAGCAAGTCTGGCGGGCCACAGGAGCCTCGAAAGCCGAAACCACAGTGGAGCAATCGGGGAACCCAGTGGAGGGCGCGACCAGAAGCTTATTGGCAGCTCCGAGCCCTCAGAACTCTCCAGTCTGCAGTGTATGGGGCTTCTTGTTTGCAAAGAAGATGGCTAGCACTGGCCCACTTCTAGCGAACAACAAATCCACGGGGGGGAGGTCGCATGGAGGAGGAGGAGGACGAGGAGGAGGAGGAGGACGAGGAAGAAGAGGAGGAGGAGAAGGAGGAGGAGGAGGAGGAGGAGGGGGAGGGGAGGGGGAGGGGGGGAGAAGAGGAGGAGAGAGGAGGAGGAGGGAGGAGGAGGAGGAGGAGGAAGAGGAATTTTTGATCGCGGGGCTCCCGCTGCAGTGACGGGTGGGCGAGGATAGAGCCTCGGCGAAAGCAGCGCAATTCTGAAACATGCGCTCGACCGCAGGGCGACCTGCAGGACAGCGCCACGCGGCAAGCGCGAGGGCCGAGCAAAGGGGACCGAAGGGCAGCGCCCGAAAGCCCAGGCGATGGGCGGCCCCTCCAGGAGGATGAAGAGGAGGAGGAGGAGGAGGAGAAGGAGGAGGAGGAGGAACGAGGAAAGTGGAGGAGGAGGAGGAGGAGGAGTGCCCGAGCAGAGACCAGGTAGCATGACTTGCGGGAGGGCGCGTGCCTCATCCCGCAAGTGCCCACAAGGGAGCTAACACGAGACGAGAAGGCATCGGGCGAGCCAGCAGCCCGGTGCCCCAGGAAGAAGCGAAGACTGCATCGTGACCTCCTCGCCACACGCTGATCCTGAGGACCCGTGCGACCGGCACACCGGTCCGCAGACTCTGCAGCACTGCCCGCGGCACGGACCAAAACGCAGGCGCCATGAGAAGCAGAGCAACGAGGAGCAACAGAAGAAAGTGAGACCCAGCCTGGCCAGAGAGGCCCCAGGCGTGGCCTACCCCACAGAACACACGAGTCCGACTCGTGTTTCGTGTTCTCCTGAGGCCCGAGCAGCCGTCACCAGCGGACACACGTCCTCATCCTCACGGGGAGACACGGTTGTCTGTCTAATGGGTCTGCCTGGCGCCAGGGGCGGCGCTGACAAACTCACTGGGAGCAGCGGCGGGGGCGGGGGGGGCACCTCCCACAGGCACACTCCTCCTCCTCCTCCTCCTCCACCTCCTCCTCCTCCTCCTCCTCCTCCTCCTCCTCCTCCTCCATCCCCCCTCCTCCTCCTCCTCCTCCTCCTCCTCCTCCTCCTCCTCCCCTCCTCCTCCTCCTCTCCTCCCTCCTCCTCCTCCCTCCTCCTCCTCCTCCTCCTCCTCCTTCCTCCCTGACCGCCTAGAGTTCGCCGACCCCCGAGGGAGACGGCGGCAGGCACTGGCGCCGCGGAGGCACGGGGCGAAATGGCTGCCCGACGAGCACGGGGCGAAATGGCTGCCTGATGAGGGTCCCCCCGCGCGGCCCGCGCAGCTTGACCGGGCGCCTTCGAGGGAGGGTCAACGTCACACAAGCCAGGGCTCACGTCGGCTGTTGCATCTCCCTCGGGGGTCAGACAGCGTAATACAATGTTGGCAAACAAGCCCTGGCGTGTCTTTTCCCGTGCAGAGGGTGGCCGCCAGCTAAGACTTGTTGCCATGTCGACATCTGGCGAGAACCCGTGTTACTGGGACCTGACCAGAGCTTCAGGAACAAGTTTGACTTCGGAGGCGAGCCTGTGGAGACTGCAAGCAATGCAGCGCACAGAGGTCAAACGACTGGAGCGATGCGAGCGTCGAGATCCAGCAAGCGAGTGGCGATCAGCGCTGTGAAGTCTTGGCAGGAGCGAGCCCCGGGGCAGGGCCAGAACACGTCCCGGGGGGAGGCAGAGGCCGAGGCAGACACTCGAACGCAAGCCGGGCACGGCGGGCCCCACAGCAACCCTCACAACGCCAGGAACCACAAGGGCTCCCCGCGCTTCGCGCTTCGCGCTGCGCGAAGCGCGAAGTGCGAATAATTTCGCGCTCCCGCGCCGCCTCCCAGGGGAGAAGAGGAGGATGAGGAGGAAACGGAGCCGAACCGCGAAGCGCGAAGCGCGAGTAGCTTCGCGCCCTCGAGGGCGCCCTCGGAACCAGCAGCCCAGGAGAAGTTGCACAGATCAGGGGCGACCTCATCGACTTTCTCGATGTCGGACTTGGCACACTCGACTTCTCCAACGTCGCGGAGGGCCAGGAAGATGGGCGAGAGACGACTGGACAGTTTACAGAAAGCACCAACTGACTTGATACGACGATCCGTCTCCTCGAGAATTGCCGAATCCACAGGGTGAAAATCCATCGCTGCTTTGCCCCCTATGTTGGCGCAATGGTTTCCAGTTCCTCGGAATTGCACGTGTTCCGCCAGATCAGGTTCGTTCAGGCTGAGACGGCCTTACCTTTTCCCACTAAAACCTGCACTATATGCCCAGCAGTGGCTTTGCTGAGATGCGCACGCACTTCAGGTGGATCAACGTAATCATTGGTAACGTTGGCACAAACTGCGCACATCGATGCAAGGCCTCCGAGGCACCTCACAGCGCCTTTGAGAACGGAGCACCCCACGAGTCCTAGACGCTCCTCCTTCTGAGCAGGACCTTTTCCCGCCTCCCGCGGGAAAGCGCATCCGTGCATCCGCAGCCCAGAGGACCCTCTCCAGGATGCCTGCAGCCCCTGCAGGCAGCTCAAGCCCGAGCCCAGAGAGCCCCGGGAGCAACGGAGCACGGACTCCCTGCCTGCAGCGGCGACTGCTTCTCGCACTGCAGGCGCCCTGCAGCGACGTCGAGGCGAAGCTCGGGCGGGGAAGGCGCCCCCCTCGCCCCAGCGCGGCGCCCCGGCTGTCGAAGCACGCCGCCCCCCTGAGCAGAGGACGCAGCGTGCCTGCCGAATGTGCCGGTCAGGACACAGCAGCTGGCGGCGAGCGCGGGGGGAAGCGTCACTGCCCCGACCTTGCAGACGTGCTGCAGCGGATTTTCGCGAGGATTTCTCTGTCGATGCAAGGCTCCGAAACTGCGAGCGAAAAACGAAGCGAGTTTCACGTGGATGTGTTGCAGCCTTCATTCCTGGCCAAAACAAATCCGCGCGAAATCCACTTCAAAATCCGGAACGAAATTCTCCAGGACAGTCCAGGCCCATCCCATTGTTTTCCGAACGAAAACCGCTCTGCGATGTTTGAGAGGGAGAGGGCCTTCTCAGAAGGCATCGGGACTTCTCAGAAGCCCTCGCGCCTTCCGAAAGGTCTTCTGCGTCCTCGGGGAAGGCTCAGGGAACTTCTCAGAAGGGGGGGGACTTCCGAGCCTTCTGAGAAGGCCTTCTCCGTCTGACTTCCCCCCCTCGCTCGCCGCCGTTTCACGGCCCAGCCGTCTGAGCGCCAAGTTTCCAGGGGCCTCGAAAGACTTGGTCTTGCCAGGCGATGCGCAGCTGCCGAATACTGGGAGCGGTCAGGGAGGAAACGAACACCAACATTCAAGGCCTCCTCGGCGCACATGAGGACAGGAGAAGCCCGGATGACCCACGCAGGGCCTCCTCCAGGAGACAACGGAATTGAGAGACCGCGGCCCCCGGCGTTCGCCCCAAGGGCCGACGCATGACCGCACATCGGGCGCAGAAGCTCAGCACTCGAGGTCTCCGAGGCGCCACATTTGCAATGTGAAAACCGAAAAACCAAAAAAATCAGAAGCAAATCTGCTCTGCCACCGCGGCGAGGTTACGAGGAGCCTGAGGAGCCCGAGGAACCCGAGGAGCCCGGGGAACCCGAGGAACCCAGGGAATCTCTGAGCAGCGGGCAAAGTGAGCCCCCGAGGCACCGATGCTCTCACCCAGTAAGAACCTCCCGAGCGAGCCTCAGCGGGGAACTCACATTGCCACTGGCTCTGAGGTGCACCCTGGGAGCCGCGACTCGGGCGCCTCCAGCGATCGAGGCGGCCCTCTCGCGAACAGAAGGGCCTCCGTTCCCTTGTGTGTCAGTGGCGGCGGCGGCGAGACACCTGCAGGAGCTGCAGGAGAAGGGTCAGAGGGGGCTCCAGGCTGGGCGCCCTCAGATCCCCCAGCTGCCTCTGCACCACCCTCAGTGGGCCTGCACTTGACCTGGAGCCGCTGCAACAGCGCCTGAGTTTCCTGCTTGGCCCTGATGGCCTGTTCAATTGTCTTTTAGAGCAATGCACCTGTGGCCTCCTTGAGGCCCCGCTTGAGTTATGGGATGACCGTATTTGCGGCGTCATTGTCCTCTTTTGAGAAAGCAAGGCCACCATCCTCGTTAACCAAATCTCCAATCTCGATTGTGATCTCGTCAATCTTGCCAGTCAGTTGAAGGTACTGACCAGGCAGCTGGCGGGGGCGCAACCTTCTCACCGACCAGAGAATGTAGTTGCGTGACCCGTTGTTTTTGAAGATCTTCAGCTTGAGTGCACTCCGCATGTAGCCGTTCAACGAGAGATCGCTGTTCGTCCAAGGCAGCCTGCATTTCGTCAAACCGAGAAACTGCCTTTCCAAATCTGTCTTCCGTGGTTCTAGGAGTATTGGAGACTTTCGTAACATATGGCTGTAAGGGCTGCTCACGGCCGGCATGGTGTTTGGCCTCCAGGGCCTTGTTGTAGCCCCCTGCGGCGGCAACGGCTCCTGAAGGTGTTAGCATTTTAATGAGGGGCTCAAGCTCGGGCTCGGCCGGGGCCCTGGTGTCCAGGAGTGCGGATTGACCAGGGACAAGCTGCAGACCAGGACAAACAGGACCACTATGACCCGTAGCACCACTGGGTTGAACTTGCTGTTGATGCGGATTGCTCCAGACGCCCTGAGGGCGACGGATACCTTGGCCAGGATCGGATCGCAGGGGTTCACATTGACGACAGGATGTAGCCGAGGCGAGGTTCTTCCTGCACGGGCACTGAGTACAAGACCACTGTCCACGTCAACGGAAGAACTGAAGTCCTCCTCCTCCTCCTCGTCCTCCTCCTCCTCCTCCTCCTCCTCCTCCTCCTCCTCCTCCTCCTCCTCCTCTTACCTCTTACCTGGCTGGGGAGGAGGGTCCATTGAGGGCCTCCGACCACCTCCTCCTCCTCCTCCTCCTCCGCCTCCTCCTCCTCCTCCTCCTCCTCCTCCTCCTCCTCCTCCTCCGTTGCCACCATAACCGAACCCACCGAACCGCTGGCCGGGAGGACACGGGACACGTGCCAACGACAACCGCGCGACGCATCCACCTCCGGGAGTGGTGCGGGCGGGCTGGGCCCACCGAGGCCGGCGCTGCATGCCCCCTGCCTGATCCATCTGGCCATCTCGCTGCGCCGTGGCTCGGTGATGGCGAAAAGGGGATCCACCAGCGCTAAGCCTAGTGTTAGGTCGGGCCTGTCCCCCTACAGGGAAAATATTCGAAAATTGTCAAAAAATAGTCTGGGGACTATGTTCTAGTATTTCTGGGTATCTTTTAAATATTTGTTTGTATGTTTGGGTATCTTTCAAATAGTTGTTTGATATTTTTCATTGTTCGTCCAAAATCCCCCTATAGGGGGACAGGCCCGACCTAAGCCCAGCGGGAAAAGAACGGAATGCTCCATCGGGAGCTCACCAGGGTGAGAGAAGACCTCGTCTGCCCAGGCAGACGAGGGGCACTGTTGGGGGCCGCTGCTCCCCCTCAAGGCTAGGTCCTGCGCAAAAGCAAAAAAAACGCCACAGGCGTGAGCCAAAGTGGCTGCGGCTGCGGAGGAGGAGGAGGAGGAGGAGGAGGAGGAGGAGTAGGAGGAGGAGGAGGAGGAGGAGGAGGAGGAGGACCAGGACGAGGACGAGGCCGAGGACGAGAGGCGGAGGAAAGGAGCAGGGGGGACGGAGGAGAAGGGAGAGGGGGGAGGGGGGGGTGGAGGAAGGAGGAGGAGGGGGGGGCGAGAACGCCCTCCCCACCATTCGCTGGCACGCGTGCTGGTTGTGGTAGCCCCACATGCTGCTGCCCATCTGCCCGTAGAGCGGCGCGCGCCAGGGGCCGGGCGCGAGGGTGTACAGGCCTCTCGGGGCGGGGGGGGGAATGATAATGCAGAGGAGGAGGAGGAGGAGGAGGAGGAGGAGGAGGAGGAGGAGGGGGGAGGAGGGGGAGGGGGAGGAGGGGGAGGGGGAGGAGAAGGAGAAAGACAGGAGTCGAGGAGGGAAGGAACGAGGACGAGAAGAACGAGAAGAGGAAGCAAGGATGAAGGAAAAAGGAGGGAGGGGGAGGAGGAGGAGGAGGAGGAGGAGGAGGAGGAGGAGGAGGAGGAGGAGGAGGAGGAGGAGGGTGTGGAGACGGAGGATCCGACGAGGAAAAGGAGGGACAGAAGGGGAAGGAGAGGAATGGTAAAGACGATGCGAATGAGAAGGATGAGAAGGCGAAGAAGAAATAGTGGCAGCAGCGCGAGCAGTAGCTGCAGGAGGAGGGAGGCTGGAGGCATGCAGCGGACAACTAGGGGGGCAGGCAGACGACAAGGAGGGGAAGGCTGGAGACAGGAGACTCAGGGGTGGACTTCGCTTCTCCATTGTCAGATCTGCCACCCCGAGATAGGAGGAACGGACTTGAGCCTGCAGGAGCCTGGTCGGGCTGAAGCGAGCTACGGGAGCGGGAGCGGAGGCAGGAGAGGAGGAGGCAAGAAACAGGAGGAAGGCGACAGAAGACAGGAGACGGGTGGTCTGGTCCTCACTCCTCCTCCTCCTCCTCCTCCTCCTCCTCCTCCTACTCCTCCTTCCTCCTCCTCCTCCTCCTCCTCCTCCTCCTCCTTCCTCTCCTCCTCCTCCTCCTCCTCTCCTCCTCCTCCTCCTCCTACTCCTCCTCCTCCTCCTCCTCCTCCTCCTCCTCCTCCTCCTCCTCCTCCGCTTTCCTTCCTCAGCCTCCGAGCGCCTCCGAGCGCCATGGCAAGCGAGTGCCCCAAGCACCCCGCTCCGCTCCCCGCCCCGCTCCCCGCTCCGCTCCCCGCGCCCCTGACCCTCGCGGCGCTGGTTGTGACAAAGGGCTGGCTGGTGTGCTAGCTAGAGCAATTGGCTGGAGCATTTGGTTTATGACAGACAATATCGCACTTCGGTCCCCCCGACCGTATTCGGGACGCCCGCCTGGAAGCCAATCCCTGACGATGCGGTGCGATGTTGCCCCCCACATGCTCTGGGCGCCCGTCCGGGAGGCCAGTCTCCCACGGTACGGTGCGATGTCTCTCCCCGGACCGTGCTCGGAACGCCCGCCTGGGAGGCCAGCTTCCCACAGCAGGGTGCGATTTGGCCCTGGCCGACCGTGCTCGGGACGCCCGCCCGGGGGCCGGTCCCCCACGGTGTGGTGCGATTTGGCCCCGCGGACGATCGCTGGGGCGCCCGCCGGGGAGGCCAGTCCCCCACGGTGAGGTGCGATTTGGCCCCTCCCGGCTGCCAGCTTAGTCCTTGGAGGGCAGTTCGCAGCCACTTTCGCTGGTAAAGAACACTTCCCCCCTCCTTGGTAATGTTAGGTCGGGCATGTCCCCCTACAGAGGGCTTTTCGACGAAAAATTCAAAATGGTCAGAAAATACTCAAAAATGATTCAAGAATATTCCAAAAATCGTCCCCATACTATTTTTGACTATTTTTGAAGATTCCACCTGTAGAGGGATAGGCCCGACTTCATGGCACTGACGGAGGGCAGGCGGCGTGGGTAGCCAGGTTGGTGTGGTGGCGGGTTGCGCTGGTTGGGCTGCTTGGCTGATTTGCGGGTCGAGCTGGCTGGTGTGTCGACTAGGGACTAGGGCACATGATTTCGATTACTCTCCATTCTCCCTCGGGGCCGTCCTGAAAGTCGCGCGACCCCCCGCCCCGTACTGCCTTTTTACACGCAGGATTGGTACGACCTGGCTTTTCGCACGTACGCCTTCATTCCGAACATGTTCGGTCCTTCCAACATGGCGCTCCCGCTGCATCGTGGGCCTCGTTTTCGGATCAGAGCACTGCTCCCGCCGTTCAGAATGGCGCTCTCGCCCTGGTGCGGGCCAATCTTTTCTGAATCCGAGTCCTTCCTCATCGTTACCTTCCCACTCCTGCTCCCTCCTCCGCCTTCCCCTGGTCCTCCTCCTCCTCCCGCTCCTCCCACTCCTGCTCCTACGGCTTCTGCTGCCCCTCCTCGCCCTTCTCCTTCCTCATCATCCTCGTCTTCCTCCTGCTCATCCTCCAGCTCATCCACCACCTCCCTCTCCTGCTCCAATATACCCAGCTCGCCTTTTTACGATTGCGTGTCACAGGCTGGTGTCCTTTTGGTGGTTCCAGGTCCGCTGTGTCGCCCGTCGGCGAATAGAGAAAAGAACAGCGCCATGGAGAGGGATGGGCGGGAGGGGTTACGATGTCGGATGACATGGAGCGAGCGCGCCTCGCTTGTCTCCGTCCATCGCCCACCCACCCACCCACCCCCCGCTCGGCCGCCCCCCCAAAGGCCTGTCGAGCGCTCCGGGGACAGCCAGGAAAGCCACGAGAGGCTCCGCAGATGCCCAAGAGCTCCCCAAGACCTTCGAGATCCTCCTCCCGAATATTACTACTAGTAGTAATAATCATTCGCGCCTTTATTATTTGTATGATTTTTTCTTCTTGCTATTAGTAGTATGATTGTGTTGAATATTCTTGTGATTGATATTACCATTATTATTATTATTCGTATTATTACGATTCGTCCTCTTCTTCTTCCTCCTCCTCCTCCGCCTCCTCCTCCTCCTCTTCGTCCTCCTCCTGCTCCTGCTCCTCCTCCTCCTCATGCTCCTCCTCCTCCTCCTCCTGCTCCTGCTCCTCCTCCTCATCGCCCTCCGCCTCCTTATCCTCCTCCTCATCACCACCACCGCCACCACCATCAACATCATCATCATTATCAGCAGCAGCAGCATCATCAGTAGCATCATCATCATCAGCATCATC